TTTTGTTTGCGATTGTAATCAATGAGACAATCAATTCGGTGGTAAACCCTCGCGGGTGTCGGACATCGAGAACCAATTCCGTCAGACCCACCAAATACTGTCCGATCGCACCGATAGACTCATACTTTACGTCTAACCAACTTGTGGAAAGGGATCTCAATTTTGGACAATCGGCCAGTAGTTTGATTTCATGAGCGCCTACATCCACGTGAGAGACTCTGCAACAGTCACCGACACTTAGTTTCTCCAATGTCTTCAGACGTGATATATCTTTGAAAACCTCATTGTAGGGCCAGTCATGTGCATCGGGACTCCAGCACACCTGTACCCATAGCTCACGCAAACATTGGAAGTGTTGGGCTATTAATGGCATAATATTAGTGTTGAAGTGTTTGACCCGTAGTTCCCGTAACTGATTCAGTGGTCTGTCAGCCAACACTTGTATGCATTGAGGGTTTAATAGTTCTCCAGACGTATGGATAGTTTTTATACCCGGATTCAAATGCCGCCATACATTTCCACTGTTGTTAAATGGCCATATTGAATTGCTTATATCCACTATAATAAGCACTTCTAGTTGTGCCAAATGTGTGATCAATAAATCAAATGTTTTCTCCCAAATGAATAGCCGTTCGCACGACAATTGCAATACTCGGAGGTCTGGGAACTGATTCACTAATACATGGGCTTCACTGAGACTGAGATCATACCCGACATCGTTGGATGTGATGCATAAGTGGTGAAGATTTGAAGGACAGTTCCCAATCACTAAGCGTTCAATAAATTTGCAAATCTCATCATAATTAGCATCAAATATACTAAACATATCGTCGAAGCTCATGAATAATCGCTTTAATTGAGGAAATTGTTTCATAATTTTGGTGATCTTTGTCTGAATGGTGTGTCGATTGTCTGATCGGTTGATTACCTCAGACAAATGAATTTCACAACTGGTGGTCGGGTTGTGTGGATAGCCGTATAACTGGAAGTCATCACTAAATTGGATATTAAATGAGACTCATGCAAATTGTGTCGACTTTTGTGAACCAGTTTTCAGATACCTCTCCACCGCCGACACACCGACCGAACCCTCACTTTGGACCGAAAGTCCATTTCGTTGAATATCTCTTCCCATAACTCTTGCGGCAAATCATTCATCTCTTTGGTGGACATCGAGAGTCAACCAACACTTACTACAGTATATCTTATTTACTGAATTAATTGCACTAAACTACTGATTATTTATGGCATTTAAATAATTTACTTAACAATGAATTAAGCTCATGCTAAACTTACTATTAAAATTAACTAAGTTTTGCTAAGTTAATATAAATTCACATTAAATTACGAAGTATTAATCTTCATTATTGATTCAGGATCATTTGCACCTTGCATTCAAGAAGCAATTCACTTTTCTAAGACTAGATAGAAATGAATTCAAATGCCATTTAGCACAATATTTTGCAGGATTAATTTAATAATGTATCTTGGTGAATGTCAAACAAGGTATATGACGGAGTCATTAATTATGGCCGTTAACTTCATGGTGTCACGTGACACCTTTTGGCATCATGGGTAATCATGAATAAAATACTACATTTAGTGTTCATTTTTTGATGGTCATACCAGAGGTTGATCAGAATCACTTATTAAAGCCTACATCACGGGTATGGGACATGTAGACTTTTATGCATCACAGTGTAATCTTGATGAAAATACGTAAATTTGCAATCGTCACATAACCAGTGTATACCATATGGTAATTCATCATATTTTGACCCATGTGTCGGACCTCAGGGACATTTAGGGGTCAGTAAATAGACATGGCGCCCATCCTTCATAATGAATATATTGGTAATGATCACATCAAGGGTAGGTTGGAGTCATTTATGGTAGGCAAACTACTTTTGGTGGGACTCAGGGACCTTTAGGGGTCACTATAGATAACTTTGGGTAATATGACGTAACGTGTTCGGTCGTGTTGGACATTCAGGGTATTTGTTGGTGTCATTTATGGAAATATTTCATCAGTATATTTATAGCGTATATCATAATATGTTTTATAAATTATTTACATAGTATTAAAAATATTAGGTAATTGTAATTTAACAAACAATTTAAGCTCTATATTGTAACGATTTCTGGTGCCGGTGCACAGCTTATTGTACGTTTTGTCGGGTGCCGAGCGGTATATGTAGTTTACTTTTACAATGATTTGCAACCAATCGGTTGTTTATCTCTTAGTTGGTCGATACGAGCGAGCGGTTCACGAGTCGACCATAGTTTCGGTAGCGTATAGTTAGGGGACCAGACATATCAGATATTTCGGTATTCGGTCATTTGATCTACGGGACATTTGACCTACAAATTCAAACACGTTATTTATGGATGAAAACATTTTTAGGTAAGTTTAGGTTAGGTAAGGAATTCAAAAATAACGTTTAAAAATAAATTCGTCCACAAATAACGTAGATATGTAGAGACGTACTTTATGAAAATTTTTTGAAAAATGTTTATTTTTTGAAAAATGTTTATTTTTTGTTCCTGAGTTGAATGAGGGTAAAAGTTCAATTTTGAACATTTGTAGGTCAAATGTCCCGTAGGTCAAATGACCCAAGACCAGATATTTCTTATAATAAACACAAAGTGTCAAATGCATTACGCGTCAAAAAGAATCACTCCATAATGGAAATGACATGAAATGCTGCTATGCTTTAAAACAATACAAGGGTTGAGTCACCCGATTGTAGGACGCAGAGAACTACTACTCAACAGTCCAACGGGCAAATGGGAGAAGTTGTCCACATTTAGCCGGAAACAGGTCAGTACTCAACAATAGCGAGCGAATCTGGCTTTGATTCTTACGGAACTTAAGTGAGATTGCAAAACATTTTATTTATAAATTAGTTTTCAAACGCTCTCAAGGGTGGTGTGAAAACTACTAAAAACTGTTTGCTAATATAATTATAACACCTCTGCTCATACCGATTCTCTGCTAAGTCTTCAGTCGTGATATACCTTTAAAAAGCCGATTGTTATTAAATGAATGGTGTGTCTCCTCATAGGCACTGACACTCCAATACAACTCCACCCATAACTCCCTCAGCGATTGGAAGTGTTGGGCTATTAGTGGCATAATATTTGGGTTGAAGTGTTTGACCCGTAGTTCCTGTAACCGATTCAATGGTCTGTCGGCCAACACTTGTATGCATTGAGGGTTCAATAGGTCTCCAGAAGAATAGATAGCTTTTATACCCGGATTCAAATGCCGCCATATTTTTCCACTGTTGTTAAATGGCCACGAAGTAAATCTCATATCCAGTACAGTAAGCACTTCTAGTTGTGGCAAATGTGTGACCAATAAATCCAATGTTTTCTCCTCAATGTATAGCCGTTCGCACGACAATTGCAATACTCGGAGGTCTGTGAACTGATCCACTAATACATGAGCCTCACTGAGACTGAGATCATACCCGACATCGTTGGATGTGATGCATAAGTGGTGGAAATTTGATAGACAGTTCCCAATCACTAAGCGTTCAATAAATTTGCAAATCTCTTCATCATATTTATAGTTGTCTTCAAAAATGATAAATTCTTCGCCGAAATGAATGAATATTTGATTCATTTGTGGAAATTGTGCCATAATTTCGACTATAATTTTTTGAATGATGCGTCGATTGAATGTTTCGTCCAGTAATTCACACAATTGAATGTCACAACTAGTGGTTGGGTTGTGTGGATAGCCATATAACTGGAAGTGATCGCTCGACTCATTCAAATCAGTGGCTTTCATGAAAAGTGTGTCGACTTTTGTGAACCAGTTATCACAGATACCTCTCCACCGCCGACACACCGACCGAACCCTCACTTTGGACCGAAAGTCCATTTCGTTGAATATCTCTTCCCATAACTCTTGCGGCAAATCACTGATCTACAATTTTTCAAATGTTTGATTTGAAATTAAAATATATTTATTTTACTGTAATAAAGCTTGATTAAGATTTTAATTTTATCCTGTTTACTTTATTAATAAAGTGTTTTAATAAACAAATAAAGTAAAACTGCGGGTTTTATTTTAAAATGCCTTATAAAATTTATACTAGGAATTTAAATTAATTTATTGTATATTTTGATGTTTACTTCAATTTAACATTAGTATTGGCGATTTTTATGATAAAATTACTAAAAATGTTGGACATGTACTAGTTTGCATTGCACCTGGATTGAAATATCTGCACAACGTTACTCTTTCTAAACAAACTACTGTTTATCGATAATTATTTTATATCATAATTTATTATCATTTTTAATTTACTATCACAGTAATTACTTATGTCTATTAATCTTGGTCAAATGTATAATTAAATTGTATGCTAATTAATACCAAAATTTATTTGTATCATATTTATATTAGTGTATAGCTACAATTATTCTTAATAAAAAAGTTAATTTAATTTTTAAATGTTTCAGTTGTAAAAGTATGCGAACATTTTATTATATTGTTCTGCTATGTTTAAGTATTGTAAGTTAATTTAATTATAATTGTAGTTTTAAAAGTTTATATATAAATACAGTACAACAATTTATTGACTCAACTAATTTTGAAATACTATTGTTTAATTGTTTTTCTATTTTTATATAATGGTTGTAAAATAAGTTATTAAATAAAAGTGTTATGCTTTAATTAATCATATTGTTAATTTATTTAATATTATATATATATATATTGTTAAAAATATTGAGAAATATATATATATATATTCTATAAGCTCAGTTAGTTTTATTTCTATTGTTACAGGTCAAAAAACAATTCATAATTAAGTTTTATAAAATTACAAAAACAATACAAAATTTTTATATTTCTATTATTTAATATAAAATATATTATGTTTTTAAACATTGTTTTTGTGTTAAAATTGTGTACAAGTGTTTTTTCAAATTCTTGTTAAGTATTTAAACTCGGTTGCTTTAATAAACTGTATCAATTAAACATTACTGTACAACTATTATATTTACTATAATAATCAATAATGTTCAATAAAATCATAGCCGGCTCAGTTGCCTATGTTATGCTGTCATTCATTGTCAGCGCTTACGCTCAAGGTATATACACTTGTTATTAATTGTAAATGGTACATTTTTGCATTTATTAACAGGCACGTGTGCACCTCTGTGTAATTGTGATTGTCAATGCGGCGCGACTACAGATTGCTCCCAGTGTTCAGGACCATCAAGTAAGTTGCAAATTGAGCTTGACTAATTTCCATTATATTAGCTAGAGGGTTTGTCATATAAAAGTAAAAATTAAATAATATTTTAATTGTGAAAACTAATGAGTTATACTTTTAAATACTATTTAATGTATATACATGTATTAAATTTAATTTTATATACATTTCTAATGTTATTCCCATACAAATATAAAAACAGCCTGTCCACCGGGATGGAGCCTGGCACCTGACAACACGTGCGTGATCATTGGCCCCAAAACGGCCACGACCTACGGCGCTGCCCTGGCATATTGCAAAAACACGTACGGCGCTCACCTGGTCACCAACAAAAATAGCATGAAAAACACTTTCTTGATCAACCTGTTCACGTCAACGAACCTGGGTAGTAGCGTGTGGTTGTGGACCACCAGGGTCGATAGTAGCAACAACCCGTCCACCAGTTTCATATGGTCCGATGGCGATGACATGACCATGTACAATAACTTTGCCGGTTCCGATCCCAATGGTGGGAGTGCAAATGAGCTGTGCGTGTTCATAAACGGGGGAAGCGGTAACCAGTGGTACGATTACGGTTGCGGTCAAACAGGGTGGAGCGGCTTTAATTTTGTAGCGGTTTGTGAGCGCGCATGCTGCTTTTAGTAAACTGTACTGGACCCCGAAATTAATTTTCAAAATTCTGAAATGCTTTTACTTTTTGTCTAATAAAATTTTTGGTTGCATAATTTTTTATTCAAGAAATATTAAAATAATTGATAAAGTGTGTCTTTATATAGTGAGAGTGAGTGAGAGAGAGAGAGAGAGAGAGAGAGAGAGAGAGCGAGAGAGAGAGATAAATTTAGCATAATTTAGTCTCTCTCTCACTCTCTCTCTCTCTCTCTCTCTCTCTCTAATATCCAAAAACCTTTATTATAAATTAAAATATTATTTTTTTTATAAATAAATATTGTTTGTTTTTTTAAAAAGTTATGCCATTGTTTAGTTATTTCTTTTGTTCCAGGTCATACGTATTATTTTTGATTATTCTCCTGTGAAGTCTAACTATAAACATTATTAGTTCATAAAATAATATAAAACAAAGGATATATTATAAGTCTTTTAATAATGTAAAACTATTATTAACCAGCAAACAATTGTTGAATGTTTTAGAAAATGTGTTTTATTTTTGTATAAAACATTTTAATTAACAACAAAATTAGATGCTATTCACCCTTTTTATTTAAGTACTACTCAAACACTACTTTCTCAAATTTAGCTATATTAGTTAACATTCATTTATAAAAATAAAAATTTATTATAAACTAATAGCCTGGTCAGGTGTTTGCGTATTGACGGCGTTCATTATCACGGTATCTGGTCAAGGTATGGGTCCATTCATTGATTGCGTACGCAATAAATTTTTATATTGCCATAGACAATATATGATTATTTTAAACTGATTTAGTAAATATAAATTTATATAATTCTTATTCAAAATTATTCAAACAGAGTTTAAACGTCAGTTTAGTATATTAATATCAGATTTATTTATTTAAATAGTTAATAAATTGTTAAATTTACTTAATTAATCTCTATGTTAATGATTTCCTTAATCCGGTATAGGATACTGGAGTGGTCGGCCTGGTACTGGGCCAACACGTCCCGGATGTCCGTTTGCTCACACACTCCTACACTATAGCCCAACGCCTTAACCACTACACCACTGTGCCTCCTTTATTATTATCTTTGTATATTATTATTATTATTATTATTATTATCTTTGTATATCACGGTTAGTCCGGTGTGATCTCAGATATGTCGGCCACTTTTGGTGGCAGAGACA